GGGAACAAAACTCCAAGCAGAGGTCGATAACACAGCTGAGAGATTCAGGTACTCTGCTGAATCGATTCAACAAAACAGGAACAAATAATTGCTCTAAAAAAGGATGGTGTATTCACCATTCCTCAAAAAAAATACTGAAAGCCATGAAGGACAAACGGTATTTTCCAGCAGCCTTTGTTAAAGATGAATCATGTGGAGAGAAGATGTACAAAGCCAGACTAAAGCTGTTATCTCCTGCTTTTCTCTTTGTTAATTGTATTTTTATACTTAGGAGGGGATCAAGATGGATTTGATGGGTCAAAACCCGAAATTAAATGTGACTTTAAACTTAGAATTCAGGAGAGTTTAGTTAGGGCAGATGAAGGGAGGGAGTTGAGGAGTTTACGCTTAGAAGGAAAAATGCTTACGGTCAGATATTCCTACTGCTGATAGTAGCTGCACTGTAATCCCAGGAGGAGTTTGGCAGTAGTTTGCTCAGGGATTACAGTGAGATCACAGTGCTCTGAGGAGATGGAGGAAAGCATGGCATCAAGTTTCAGATGATGGATTTTAATGGGGTTATTTGGGATAACCACGTGGGATCAAAGTACGTAAAAAAATATAACCCTCTCATATCTAGATGTTTTGCTACACTATGTACAACTCTACAGAGCTATTTTTAACCCCAAAAAGTCAAAAAGTCATGCACACAATGGGGCAGTGCAATCCAGGATGCCTCAGTTGTTTAAAAAACAACCAAAGTTTTGTTTAAACTGGTGCGATGCAGTCCTTTCTGACATTTGAACTATCTGCCTTCTCATCTAATGCCATTAAGCTGCCCTCCCTTTCCACCCCGCCGCCTTGTGTTATTTTAAATCTGGGTCTGAAAAGATCCTGCTTTGACCCCCCCTCCAAAATGTCCCTGGGGGGGGACAGCTCTCAACAAATGCCCTGTGCTGTTTTATGCAGAGTCCTCTAAGTGCCTCCTCCATCTGAACAGATGCGAGGCCTCTGCCAGGCAGACATGCAGAGTGCTGCCTCTTCCTTGTCAGAGATGATGTGCTGCTTGAAACAAAGACTCAGGCTTAATCCACTGATCAGGCATCGGATTACATGAGATTTCTCATGACTGATGGTGTTCGTCTGTGCATTAGCTGAACATACATCATATGTGGCTTTAAAAAATATTTTTCACATGTGCATATGCTGATGTACACAACTGACACCTTTATTAAAACATCAAACTGAGCTGAAATGATTGTCCTTTGATTGACCAAATGCAATGGTTATGACCCTGAAGATGGTATCTAAATTTCAATCTGAATCTATGTCAATATGTGTCAAATAAACAACCCTAAAATGAGTTATCTTACTCTGCTACATTGGGACTCTGTGAGCTTTAGAAATGACCCAGGAATAATTCATGGGTTGGTATTCAATTTAACTGAGTGGTAAAAGTTGCATAAAGATTTAATGCGGGGCATGTAGGTAACCTTGAAGAAGTTCACTGCCTTCAGCCAGGGAGTTGTTCAGTCTCTGCAAAGTATACCATAGAGTTTAAAAATGCTCAAATGGGAAGCAGAAAACAGGGCCGTTTGTGAGTGAACTTCTTAGTGCTCATTCAAAGAACATCGGAGAAAAAATGCACAGAATTCTCTCTCCACTGGAATAAAATGCTGTCTGTGTGCCTGATCAGTCTACAAACTAGATGGTCGGATTTTAATTGACAAGTTTTGGTCTTGTCTATGGTCTATTTTTGTTCTATTGTACCTGATGATGAAACAGAACCCATCTTACCACATAGGAGGGCTTTTCATACTGTTTTACTGTTCAGTCTCCATGTTTGGACTTGGCCGTTGTGCAGCTTTCTCCAGTAGCCACCCTTCTATCAGTACATTATCTCATTAAGTAAACAAAGTTTACAGCCTTCACATCCGGCTCTAATTTGGTGCAACCGTTCTTGATCTTGCCCACTCTAGAAACAATTATCAGCTGCATGCTTGCTTGCTTTTGGGTTATTTTCATCAAAGTCTTGAAAACTTCCAGTAGAGGAGCCACCCACCAGTCTGAGGGGGACCTTGAGATTGAATATTAGCTATGACCTACATTCTCCATCAACAGCATCAAAGGCAGGAGTATACTGTAGTACCTGCATCTGCTGAAGTCCAAATTATCTTTGATATTGAACCAAAGTAAATTCCATCATCAAACTGGCAGGGGGCTTTCCTCCATTTTCTTCTCCTCTCTACCAAACTCTCTTAGATTTAAGGTATTAAATCAGAGCACTCTGAGAAAAAGTAATCATACATTTTACCCTTTAGAGTTTCTCTTTTATTAGTCATTAACAACATCATTTCATTATTAAGGATAATAATAATAATAATAATAATAATAATAATAATAAATGTTTCTCTATCATAATAAAAATGCTATTTTTCTAAAGTGAGCAGTGATACAGAGAGAATGTACTAAAATGCATTTAGTTTGAAAATCACATCATCAACATTTAAAGTAGAACATTTTATAGTCACTTGTATATATTAATGAATACACTCCTTAATAGTTAAATTATGCTCTTAATGACTAATAAAAAACAAATATATATATATAAGAAAACAAGTACTGGAAAAAATATTAGACCATAGTCACTTTCCCTTCAATGACAAGCTGAATATTATAAAATCTATGCCAATTCTCCAGCAACGTTCGAGAGTAGAATATACAATAAGACCTCCTGGAGCCAGACGACGAGCTGCAGTATAAAGTCACTTCATCTTAACACAGAACTTGGACATAAAGAAGGCTCAGCTGTCCTGTTCTGTCCAAGACCCAGTGGTTAGACCCAGCCCTGGGGTAAATTAGTGCACATGAAGTCAGCACTATCCGGTTCTGCAGGTAGATCACTGTTGTGAAGATTTAGGATGGACATGGATCGATTGTAGAGAGTTGCAGCGTCAGACAGATAAGTCTTTGCTAGCAGATTGTATTCATTAGCCCAGACCAAAGAAAGTCCTTTTTAAATAAAGCTTCAGGGATGCAGTGTGGAACGGCTGCTGAAGCTATGTGGTGTTTTTAAGAGAGTTCAGAGGAGACTATCTGCTTAGGAGGGACACATCCACCCTGCTCCATAGACTCTGATGCAATGTCCCCACAAAGAACAAAGGAAAAGGACGGATTAATCCTCTCAGTCCGTTTAGTGAAAGTCAGGGCGACATCATGGCGACTTCCTTTCATTTTAGGAACCAAAATAAACTTGGCTTGTCTGCGTTCACCTACACAGCCTGTCTGGCAGACTGTTACCACACCACAGCACCGACTTAACTTACTTAATAGAAAACTAAAAGTGAGAGGATCATCTCTGAAATGAGCACAAAGAGTGTACTTTATTTCATTTTCTAGAAACATAAGTCTGTATTCTCCACAATTGTTTATAGAAAATAAGGCTACCTGAAAGTGTTTTTTGAGCAGCTGCAGAAAGCAAAGGAAACAGCCTAAGAGGGCACAAGAGGATCTTTGCCTTTTCTTTTTTTAAAGCATGATCATGAATTTTTTACTGGATTCATGAATAAAAGTGCAGGGCTTTAGTTCTGCACAGCCAGCAAACAGAGCCATGCTACTACGGGATTAAAAATAGCAACCTGAGCTGTTAGAGGCTGAGGGACTTCAAACTGAGTTCTCTGTAATCTCCCCAACAAAAACACACCTTTGCAGTAAACCTTAAGTTATATCATGATATGGGCTCAGACTCATTCAGATTGATTTAATACAATTAAACTTCTTTTCTCTTCACTTCACATGAGACACCATAACCCAATGTGATAAAGCGAATACAGCAGATTATGGGGACGATAATCTGTTTTAGTTTTGAACAATGAGAGTTTGATGCTATACACTTATTTCTAATTATTTCTGCATCTCTTCCTGATTTCCATGGCTGGATTTGAACAATATTATGTTTAATGCATGTGATCCAGGTTCAGTGGGTTACTCTATATGTACATTTCCTCTGAACTCGGATTAGATGCTTCTTTTATCATGTTTCACCCCTGATCGACGTTTACAAGTCTTTTTTATTTTTGTTTGTCTATTTTTAAGGTTTGAAGTTTAACCTTCAGAGTAAATTCAGGCCATCTGACTTAGTCTGTTTACACCTGAACAGCGACGCGTTTTGTTTTTATTTTCGGCACGTTGGGACCAGATCTCCGTGCTGCGGGCCTGGATATTTGCATCGGGCTCCATAAGAACAAGTTTTACCTGTGGATGCAGTTTCCATAGCAACGGGAGGCCTTTCCCCGTCCTCCTGGAAAGGATGAAATCGTTGATGATCCAGGTCGGCCGTCGCATCGCCGCCCCTCTGCTTGAATTCCTCCCCGAACAGGCCGTTCCTCTCACGGTCATCCCCGAACCACCTCCCGTCCGAGCCTAGCTCCTCGCCGGGCTGAGCAGACATGCTGATTCCTGCAGTCGGACAGACGGGGCCGTTCTGCTCCTGTTGGGTTGGAGGTGCTGGATGGGTCGCGAACGAGAACCGAGTGCGGAGGAGGAGGGGCGGCGGAGGTGGTGGTGGAGGGGGGGGCAACGACAACAACGCAGAGCCCGGGTCTGTGTGAGCGGAGTGCGGGGTCTGGAGCTGAGCCTGAGCGGGTTGGGAACAGGAGCAGGGGAGTGAGGTTGATTGTTTTAGTTCACTGATCCGACAATGACGTCATGCTGGAGGCTCAGGCTTGGCACTCCATGTGGGATAAACATATGAAGGAGGTTCTGGGCTCAAAGCTTCATGATAAACTGCAAATAGAAGCAACACGTCATTAGGGCCGATTGATACAACAGATATCGGCTCCAATAACCATCTGCACATACCCCCCCCCTCCCTCCCAAAAAATTTAAAGGATTTTGCCTTTAAAAAAAGTAGACATAAAAAAATATAACAAATAAATGATTCATATGTGAAAGAAATAAGTGAAAGCACCGTGTTTGGGATATTTCAGTGTCTGGTATGGTAAGCTCATTTATCATATAAAATGGGCACCCAGGGTTCCACTGTGTCTACTAATGCCTACAACAACAGTGACACCTCAGCCAAATCAATGGTTGGGGAAGGAAGGGAATCTGTTTGAGGATGAAGACTTTGTGGATGTGATGAAACAAGCCGACAAAAGGTTCAATGTGTGCAATGTGATGTATTTTAAAAAGAGAATCAGGGTGGGAAGTTCTATTCTGCACAGTGTTATATAAATAAAACAGAGAAAAAGAGAATCAGTGTGTGGAGTTCTATTCTGCACAGTGTTATATAAATAAAACAGAGAAAAAGAGAATCAGTGTGTGAAGTACTATTATGCACAGAATTATATAAATAAAATAGAGAAAAAGAGAATCAGTGTGTGAAGTTCTATTCTGCACAGTGTTATATAAATAAAATATAAAAAGAGAGAATTTTTATTATGTACAATGTGATATATATGTTAAAAATAGAAGCAGTGTGGAGAAGTTCTATTATTTACAGTGTTTACTAAAATTACTACAAATTTGACTAAGACTAAAATTGATTTTCGTCATTTAGACTAAGACTAAATTGGGAAGGCAATGACTAAATATGATTAAGACTAAAATAGATTTTTGTCATTGTGACTAAGACTAAATAAAAAAAAAAACCTTACGAAATTAACATTAGTCTTGAAAGAAAAATTTAATTTATAATCATTAGGACCTCAAATTTTCCATTTCTTATTGGTATGTCTAGTTAGTCCAAGAGGAGTGATTGATCTGGTTGTCTCACAGTCTGATATTCATAAAAGCTTTTTAACATCAAAGAAAATGTACATTTAAAAAACATGAAAGCTGCAAATGTGAAGCCTAAAAAAGAAAATTCTGTATTTATTGTAGATTGATTATTTTCAGATTTAGTGATATTTATATAGAAACATTTTCTTTGAACAAAATTATTATCAATTTCCTTTATTAAATATCAAATAGTCAATCTTAAACAGCTTTTAATTTTCTATAATCATCTCCACTATTTTTAGGTTCCTAGGTCTCATTCATCTGTCATATCCTTCAGCTACCATGACTGGCACTCTCTGCATGTCCTTTGCTGATGTTCTCCTTCTTTATTTCCCTGGTCTGTCTTCTCAGTAAGGTCCTTCTTATCATCCTGAACCTCCTCACCAACCTCTGACAGCTTCACCTCTGATAAACACCCTCAAGAGATTCCTTATTGTATTTTCCCCCCAGGTCAGCTGCAAAGGGTTCGTTTATCCTGCAGCCCCTCGGCATCATTTCTTCCTTCAACTCAACTTTCTGTTACCTTTATAAACAGCTGACCTTTTTAACAACGCATTATCTTTACTCCATAGCAGAACATTTCTCTATAAGAAATGATTCTTAATCCATTTTTTAAAAAGTTTTTCTTCGATATTCCAAGGTTCTGGGTTTTCTTAACCTGTAGGCAATAATCACAAACATCAATGGAAATACATTTGGGAAATATATACTGCTGCACATGTGGACATTTGTGTGATTTTCAATTTCTGATTCTAATTTCTATTTCACTGAAATGAACCTATGCACTACTAAATCTTCCTTAATCTGAAAGAACATCCAATACACAGATTTACTAATCTTTTACAGACATAGAATGTGTACATTATTGAGTCATTAAGACCGAATACCAAACATGTCACATTGTTCAGTTTTTCATTGTAAAAAAAAAAGTTACATGTAATTTTTCTTCTTTCACTTCACAACTTTTTTTGGCTTTCAGATAAATTTCTAAAGCAAGGCAAGGCAGATTTATTTGTATAGCACAATTCAGTACAATGCAAAGTGCTTTACATTATTAAAATATAGGAAAATAAAACAGAATCAAAGCCAGTAGGAAAAAAATGCAGAAACAAAAAAGAGCATTAAAAACAGATACTAAAATATGTGGTATTAAAACATTAAAAGATGGAAGGTTTAATTAATAAAAACAGGCTTTATTTTATTGCAATCTTGCAAAAAAGTTAAACAATAAAAGCAGTGAAACATCCAAGGCTGCAGGATAGTGTATCTTGAGTACCAGTTTTTAAAAACACGGGATTAGCCAACATGTCTATGCAGACTACAACCACTTAAAGACATTAAACACTGCAAAAATAACATTTCCTAATACCGCTTCACTTTTTTACTCGATATTACTCGTAATTATATTTTGACTAAGGTAAATTCTTCAATGCATTATTAAATCATCATACAACCTGCCATACACCGTTGTTCGATTTTACCAGAAAAACATCTAACATCGCGGCGTCCTCTTGTGGCAGTTAAGAGGAGCTTCACCCGTCTCCACAGTTACTCTGTTTAACCCATTTCATGTGTTTTATTAAGGGCTGAAACAATTCATCAGATTAATCAATTATTGAAATAATGTCAAAAAATTTTGTAATCAGTTAATCGATAATCTGAGTATAGAGACTCTAAAACATGTCTTTAGCTCACAGAGCAACCCACTTAGAGCAGGAATTACACCAAAATTGTTTTATCTAAAATGAAAAATCTGTTTATTTATTTATTTTTTTTACATGTTTTCGTCTGTCAATATTCTCCATCCAGAACTCATCTACTGCTGCAACAATGCTGTATTGTAAATTATAAACATGTTATTCACATGTAATTGTTGGTAGGGACAAGTAGGCTGGTCCAATATTTTCATAGGGACATGTCCCAATGCAAACCTACGCCCATATAAAAAACACATCTAAACTGGTCCAGGATAGAAAAGCCGACTAACAAAAACCTTCTCGAAGTTTCTAAATTATGCAACTGATTCTTTATTTGTTTTTTAATGATTTTCAGTTGAATATCGTACAATGATTCAAGTCTGAACAAGGAATGATCATTAAAACCAAAGTAATCTTTTTTTTCTTTAGTGCTCTTTGAATGGGCTGTCCTATGAAAACAGAAACTGAAGGGAGCAGCATCACATCTCTGGATCAGATCAGAACATTGTTCATGTCATGATTTTACAAAGTTCGGACCCACATGCAGAAAAACCGAACAGAGAGACCAGGGAAAAGGTTTAACGGGTTTTATTGAAGTGGTTAAACAGAGAGAGAAGTGTTGCTCTGAACACTGCTCAACTGGAACTGTAGCATGAGGGGAAGACAAAGCGGTTAGTTCAGGCTCAGTGGGGAATTTGACTGGTGAACTTCTAGAAGAGGATTTGGTTGCCGACTCACATTTCCAAAGAAGTCGTTGAATCCTTGACTCCTGTCTGTGTGCCCTGGTTCCAGTGTTTGTCTGATTTGGTGGAGGGCGGAACAGGGTTTACTCAGAATGCGGTAGATAGTTGGTGAACGGAGAAACTGACTGCCACTCAGATTTCCTCCGGTACTTGAATGGGTCATAGTGGAGAATAATCCCTTTCTCAGTGGGAAGCTCAAACGATCTCTTGGGTAAAGTGGATCCAAACCTGTTTGAACCCCAGCTCAGTTTATCCTTCCAGGGAGTGAAGGTCCCAGAAATCCAGTTTGCAGGATGACTTCCTGCTGAGAGGTAAAGACAAAAATTTAAACTCAGGTTGACAAAAACTCAGTTTGACTCAGCAAAAACTCAGCTTGGCTAGAGTACCCCAAACTGGCAAACACTCTGGCGACGAAGTATTGGCAGTCAGCAGCTTAAGAACACTCCGTTTAACAAGGAAACCATCAGCAGGTGTGTGAGGAGGCGGACCAGAACCAGGCGCCTCCTGGTGGAAACACAAAGACGGGAGTCCTGACAGTCCAAGCATGGACCAATGTCAGCTAATAAGCTGTGTGTTATTGCTTGAACCACAGGATATATCTTTACTGCAGAAGTGCGACCAGCAGAAGAAGTTGTACCTGTATGATAATCAGATCCGAGAAATAAAGAATTTAGAGCTGCAAGGAAACCTGCCAGTTCTGTGGCTTAATAATAACTGCATCACTAAGATTCAGGTTGGAACTGTCAATTGTATTTTATTGTCTGCCTTTCTAAATTTAATTTACTATGTTTTGTCTGGCTGCTTCTATTGTTTATCTCCAAAGGGCCTGAACACAATGAACAATCTGAGGAAACTAAACCTTTCTGACAACGCCATTGAAAAGATTGGTGGGACTGCTGAATCCTCCCTCTTTGTGATGTTTGATGGATTTCAGCGAACCTTTACAAAAAAAAAAAAAATTAAATATTTGTTTAATTTCTCTCTTTTTAAGGGCACAACCTTGATCCCAATGTCAACCTTGAGATTCTCAATCTGTCCGGAAACAAGATATGCTCCTTTAAGGTATGAGTGAAAACCAAAACATATCCTTCAAATTCTTTCTCCTAAAAGTATGCTTACTTATTTTTCAAATCTTATTAAAATCCTTGGTTTGACAAAAGAGCATTGCTAAATATTTGTTGAGGGTCTCGGTCAGTGCAGATTTTTCAAATAATTCCTCCAGCAGGAAGAGGATGTCTATGAAAGTGTGGTTTATAATTTCACCATCCCCGTCAAACCTAAGGATGCAGTGTTTTTTTTTTTTTTTTTTTTTTTTTTTTTTTTGTTGCTCTAGCTTTCATTTAACTAAACATTTAACACAAGGTTTAAAAAAAAATAACACTATCTCATCGTAAATTAGACAGAATATTTTTTATCGGGTCAGTTGACATTACCTATTTATTTTCTTTATGATAAATAATCAGACAACCCAAACATCTTTTCTGCTGCATCCACACATCTCTATAATACTGAGTTTAAGGCTTTATGGTTTGTCCAAAACATTTACTTTGATTGATACTCTTAGATTCATTACCCATCTAGGGATGTATTTTGTCAAAACTTGAAATATATGGCCGATATATTTAGATTAGAGCTGAAACAATATATCGAATTAATCGTTTTTGAGATAATCATCAACTAATTTAGTAATCGATTAGTCGTTAACTCGAGTATAGAGGCTGTAAAACATGCCTTTATCTGACAGAGCAACCTACTTAGAGCATTAATTATACCAAGATCGGTTAATATCCTTCATCCAGAACACCTCAAATGGAAAAGTTTTAAGTTCACCTGGTTTAATTTCATAAAAACATTTCTCAATTAACTTTTGGCTATCCGTTTATTATCGATTAATCGAAAAAATTATCCACAGACTTATCGATTTGAAAAATAATCATTAGTTGCAGCCCTAATTAACTTAAGATGCTACTGAATTATTTCCACATATTGTAATATTCTGATCCTACCATCTATTTTGTGAAGCTCTCCGGTGCCAAATACAGCAAAACATTCCCAAACCATGATGCTTCCACCTGCTTACTTCACATTTGGAATTGAGTTCTCAGGGTTGCAAACGTAGCCCTTTTTCTACAAATGTTGCAGTGGTCACCATTAATAAACCCTTCTGGTTTAGCTTCATCAGATCACATTCTATTTTACCAAAAAAAATCAAGGTCTTGAATCCAGAGTTCTCTAAGTACTTAAAAAAGTCTCTCTTTAAAGTATTTTTATGATGCTTTTTGCTGTAATGGCTTCCTATGGCCTTTCAGCATGTCTGTGGAGGACTCTCTTCATCGGGTCTTTTACTACTGCTCTTAAATTCATACGTATTTCTGTCCTGAAGAATATGACAGATTATATTCGCATTTTAACACCATAATAGCTTTTAATCATTTAAATGTCCCTGTGTTATTGGACACCAGAGTTAGACAGACTTTTCTATTGAACTGCTCTGCTTTCAGTCATATGAGATATTCAGTTACTTCTGACAGTCTGAACAAAACCTTTCTTTCACACTACATAGGACTTTGAGCTTCATAATCACTTTTATCACATTTATTTAAAAAGGGCTTTTATTTGAATGATTGAAGCTCCCTGTGAGGTTTATGTTAGCTCTGCGTTCTCCACATGCATTCGGCTGCATTCAGAGCCTCGTTGTTTAGAGCACACAGTCGTGTTGCTGCTAACAAGGTCATTCTGACAGCTCACAAACTTTCGTTGATCTTGATTTGATCAGCTACACGCAGCAGCTCTTTTTCTAGTAGTTCACCTTTTCTCCTCTTCCATCTTTGCTTTAAGGAATGCAATTATTGTCTTTGACTGTGCAGAGACAAGTTTAATAACTGCAGGGTCAAAGAAAAAAAAAATCCCAGTCCTTTTGTGGGCTCAGCGTGACATCTCTTTTTCACTGCAAAGAATTTCTTTTCTTTTTTTTCTGTGTCTAACAGCATGGTTCTGATATTTAGACTGAGTCGTTAGTGTGCAGCCAACAAAACAGAGGTTATGTACTGGTTCCAACATTGATTTAGCAGGCATGTTGTAAAACATTTAAAACGGCATCTGTTGCATCACAATGTATTTACCATCATATGAGCATCTAACAGCCAAGAATTGACAAAAATTTGCAACGTAGTCCACATTCATCAACATCCCTGCTTAAGACATTTATAAAGCCTTGAATTAAATGAATATATAATTGAAGCAGCATAATCCTGCAATGAAAGTTGTAGGGTCTGTTTTTCTCCAACAGAAAACGGCTGTGGAGATGTCCCACCTCCTTCACCATCCTCCTCAGGTCCAGTTTTGTCCTTTAGAGTTCCAGCGTCTTTAAAATGCAGAATCACTGCTCTTATTGTAGTTATCAATACATTCTGTTCTGATATGATTCTCTGAGTCATACAAAACTTAGATGCAAGGGTAAATTATTGATTACTGAATAAGTTTCTTAATGCTGATCACCTTAAAACACTTAAACATTAATAATCAATCAGATCTATTTGGTTAATAGAGTTATCAGGGGTACCATTAAATTCTCAAACCACTTTGTTTTCTCAACAAGCCTCTCTCTCTTAATAAATCTTCCTAAATTAAAAATTAAATCTTTTTACTGTCAGATTTCTTTTTACTTCTTTTTACTTCTTACAAAACTCTTTCACAAAATGTGTAAATGTTAAAGCATTGCAAATATGAATAAAACTTGCATAAGATATTAAAAGAGAGAGATTTTATTCAAATAAATCCTTGGCATGATTAGACGTGGAGCAGAATTGAGGTTTTTAAAGAGTCATCTCATCCTTGGACCAGAATGCAGACGGCGTCGGGCCACAGCATGGGGAGTTTGGGGGATTTTAATCATAAAATAAAGCCAACATGGAAAACAGGATTAGGGAACCAGGAGTAAAATGGAGAATCACATGAATACAGACAGAAAACAGAAAACAGATGAGAAGAATAGGTCAAAACAAGAGAGTTCTGGAAAACAAACAATCTACCATATTTCTGATGGCTCTGGCTGACGTAGGAATGATTTAAGAGGAAAAAAAAAAAAATCCAATGATACAGAACAAAAGACAAAAGAAAGAAAAAAAAATCTAATAAAAACACAAAAAACACACAAGAGAAAAAAAAATACATGATTAAAGGGATGCACTAAAATCCAGTCATTAAGTTAGATGAACATTTTAGTAAATGCTTTCCAGTTTGATCATGCTTTTCTAAAAAGGCTCTTATTTTCAGTTTATGATGTCAGCTGGTTAAAGATTATCTTTCTAAAGGAGCCTTGCAACTTTTATAAGTCAGTGGCATCCTAATGCTGATTAAGCGTACGGCCACGGTGTTTATTAACGTTTAACAGGCAGAGAACTCCACCAGAAGCAGGTTTACCGTCATGGACAGAGATGGCATCCACACCTCTGTTAGAAGCTTCATCTTGAAGAGTAACAGCAGAACTCCTGTGAACAAAACCTGAACAACCTCCAGATAGAACAGAGACCTTATCCTCCAACCTAACTTTGCATTCCATGAAACAGGAGCTGGCCCACCTGACTCGGTTGCCCCACCTGAAGGAGCTGATGCTCACCGAACTCACAATAACTCCGGAAACTGTTTCGGGTGTGTAACTATATCTCACACATCCTGTACCACATGCCAGGCCTGCAGAGACTGGACAACTGGAATGTCAGTAAGAAAGGGGTACACCCTGGACAGGTCACTAGTCCATCGCAGGGCAACACAGAGACACACAGGACAAACAACCATTCATGCTCACTCACACCTAAGGACAATTTAGAGAAGCCAATCAACCTAACAGTCATGTTTTTGGACTGTGGGAGGAAGCTGAGTACCCGGAGAGAACCTACGCATGCTCGGGGAGAACATTTATTAGTGCATTTTTGTAAAAACATTACAGATTTTTTTTACTTTAAATGCCAAAACAAAAAAAACCCACACTGATGGGAAAACTTCAAATACTATGAAAGCTGCAACGACATGGGTTATGTAATATTTTTTATAAAGAAAAATTTTGGGTTTGCCTTTCAGTTTCACTACTTATTATTTTCTGGTTGTGAGAACATTTCAAATCTTCAGCCCTCAAAGATATCGGAAGATTTAGTTCTGAAATCTGGAAAAGCTTGGACCCACTGTGATGATGATGATGATGATGATGATGATGATGAATAAGGAAGGATTTTATTCCTTCTTCATGTTTAGCTTTCCTGAAAAATTGGGGACAGAAGTAACTATCTACCTATCTTCTTCTTCTCTGGAGTCTGTAGTTCTAAAGAAACAAAGGTACTACAACATGCGTGTTCACGCTGTGCAAAGGAACCTGACAGAGACTCAGGCTGCTCTGACAGAAAGGAAAATGAGTTTGACGCAGCTTCCTGGAGAACGTATCCGTACTCTCAGTCACGCCATCAAATGTGTAAGCATGCTTAATGCACATTAGATAAGCACCTTTATGCAATGTGCAGATAATAATAATGTCATGTTGTCCCATTGATCTTTCTACACACAGTAACCCATTACTTAAATCTTTCTTATTAGCTTTATTTTGTCTCTTAATTTTTATATGTTCATCTGCAATAATTATGTGTGACATAAAAACCAGAACAAGGCATAAAATGTTAGGGTATGAGTATGTTTTATTGTGTGTCATTTGTAGTTGGAACAGAAACTCTCCATGGTGCCTGATGGTCCTAAGACTTCTAGCTGCAGGATGCAGACAGATTCAGGTGTGAGTGAAGGACAAGAATGATGCTATCGATGAAAGAACTGATGTGAGCGTTGACAGCAGAGACTCTGCAGCGGAGCATGAAATACTTCAGAAGATAGAAGCACTGAGAGAAAGACTGCAGTGCTGGACCAGGAGGATGGATGAGTAAAGATCCCTTATCACTGTTTTATGTGTGAGACAGGAGCATTTTAGTTAACCTCCAGCCATTTCCAAACATGAACTAACAGACGACAGTGTTTTTGCCTTTAGAGCTGAGGCCTGGTATGAGCAGGAACTCCTCAAAGCCACGAAGCACACAGAATATTTGGTGCAGTTTCAGTTGATGGAGCAGGAAAGTGTTGGAACTATTCGTCTGGTGGAGGGCTTCTCCACAGACCCCTGGCACTGGTTTGGAGATAACACCTAGAACTTTTAAGTCACGGCAACACAGATATAATAAAAGTCTATTTGTTTTCCAAACTAACAGGTATACTTCCTGCTGTAACCTCCTGCTCTCCAGCTTCTCTCCATCGGATTACAAGTTCACCGACCAACATAAAGATCAACAGAGTTTTCCGCATCCACAACAGTGCTTTGAGGCTTCGCTTTGAAAACAAACTTCACAGCCTTCTTGTCAGCGAAGAATCAACTACAGCCTTAGAGTGAGTTAAGAACATGACTTAATGCCTTTTAATGACTCTGCATGTCTACATTTTATGCTGTGGATTAAAAGCTAATTTTTGCGATCTGGAATTACAGACGTCGACTGGAATATTTATTCTATGTAGCAGACCCTGACAAATGTGAGAAAGAGCAAACCTTATGTGTTTTAGAGGAGGGTTTCAAGACTACGCAGCAACTGGAAGTGAGTGAGCTGCTGGAAGCAGCTGAGTGCATTTGTTTATATCAATTTTCCAACACAGACTGTAACTAACTTCTATAATTCTGACTGAATTTTAGGTTTTAGAAGGACAAAAGGCTGTTTCTTTATCCAACAGCTTATCTAAGAAAATATCAGATAAAATCCTATTCAGGCATGGTAAGACAAGCTTATACATGTATAAACTTTTTTTTTTTTTCCATATTTCCACACAAGCTTTAAGTTCATAGAAGGTCAGTTTCTGTGGATCTCTTTTTTTTTTTTTTTTCTTAGACAGACCCAGCTTAGCTGAACCCTCCTCAGGCCCTGAGGGTAGCATCCCCTGCCAGAAGCACTGGTTTTTGTTCGACCATGAGCTCATCCTTCCAGAGTACATCATACATTTTGAATACATCACTGAGGTAAATCATTTACTTATTTCTTGATTTAACTTTAATCTAGTCCTGCATATCACCACCACCAGCTTTAATATTTGGGGAAATGATTCTAAGCAAGTTGCAACTGAGTGGCACTTTTTGTGGCTATAGTTTCTGGTATCTCTCTTGTTGGATTTTAATCATTCTTCTGCACAGAATGATCAGTTTCTTTAAACTGTTTTTCTGGAACTTTACAAAATTTTAAGCACAGTCATACCTTTTATAATAATTAAATTAATTAATTGAATATAATTGATCTCACACTAGAGAAAATCACCTCTATACCTTAAGCCATCCCCTTGGGGAGCAGTAAGCTGCCACAGTGCGGCATCTGGCGAGCAATCAGGGGTTAGTGGTTTTTCTCCGGGATCCAGAGGGCAGGCGGTGGGGATCAAACCGGGTACTTTCAGCCTTCTCAGAGCACAAGCGCACTGCTCTAACTCCTAGGCCCTCACTCCCCATTAATTATTGGGTAATTAACACATACATTATGTATGTGTTAAGTGTGTAGTTCGACTGTCTCATTTAATTATTCAACCATCTTACCCACACCGTTCCCATGTTTCCAGCTGAACTCTGCTATAAAACTGGAAACCATATTGTTTTGGTCCATGGTTAAATCAGTTTTACATAACTAGGGAGAGACTGGGTGCTGAGTAAGAAAGCAGCCCTGGCTCCAAATTGGGCACCTTCAAGTTCAACTGCTGACAAGAAAAAGCCAGATTTCTTCTAAAGAAACCTTTAATGTTGAGACCTGATAAACACTGAGCATATTGGCAATCACTAAACATGAAGGAGAGGCTTTCAGACCCGGGTATACTTTATTCACGCTGAAGCACGGTGGTGACAGGGTCATGGTTTCAGGATGTTTTAGAAAATCATGTAAGTAAAAATAGAATATAACTAAGAATTTTTTTATGCTGAAGTTCTTAACAAGTGGTGCAGAATTTGTAACAGGGGTTCTACACATCAAAACATCAGGTGGTTTCTGAAAGTTACAAAATTCTTTAAAATTACTCTGAAAATTAAACAGAAATGTACTGATAATAGAAATGATAACTCTTACCTTTGAATACTTAAGTACCTTTAAATACGTGCACATTTGAAAACTTCACTATCATCGAAAGTGAGTACTTCAATTCTTTAACTTGAGTAGATTTTTAGCTGGGAAACTTTGACTTGTAGTTCAGAAAGATTTCACAATAAGTATCAATACTTTTACTCAAGTAGTATAGTTGAGTGCTTCTTCCACCAAGCTGAGGAAACGCTCTGCCCTCCTATCCCTAACAGCTCCCAAACTTTGTGGAGTTCCACAGTCAAAACCCCTGCTGATCCAAAAGGACATAAAGACCCACCTCATTTCCTAAAAAAACAAAACAAAAAAACAAAGCATTTTGATGATCATTGAGGATTTTGGGAGAAATATTCCCTTGAATGAAGAGACAAAAGTCAGACACTAAACCTGATCCATTTTTTTTATGTACCACCAGATCATCCTGAAAGAAAGTGCAGGACAATGATCCAAATCACACCAGCATATCCGCCTTTGGGAAAAAATGGCTAAAATAAACAATATTTAAAGGTTTCTGAGAGGCCTAGTCAAAGCATGCAGTCAATCTCATTGACAATATCTTAATTGATTTGCTGTGTTTACATCTAAGAGGCCCTCCTGGCCCACTTTCGTACCGACAGCGAATGTCCTCGAAGTCTCAGCCTGCTGTCGACTGCTCAGCTTCTTTCCCATTTGGGTCCGGCTCCGTGGGATCCTTGCAGAGAACTGGAGCCAGACTGGACCGAAAAGGTAAGGTGTAGTAAGTGGAGATCTTTATCAGATAATTAATCCGAAGATGCATCTGTAAAGGTTTCAACGAAATAGTCGCTTGACAAAGTCATATATGATTTTTGTTGTTGTAATAAAATACATACATTCTATAAAATCCAGATATCTAAGTTTCTCTCCAGGTGTAAAGAAGCCAATAAAGAAAACATATAAAAAATCAGATCAGTGAATGCATATTTATCATTTTGTTTAGCTTTGACAACATTTGTCAGTAACAACTGATAGCAAAGAATCCTCATTTTGCTCTTGGGTAGTAAGGGTCACGTATTCAGAGAGGTGTGGCCTGTATCAGTGTTGTTTGCAGATGGTGCTAACAGTTTTGAGGTTTGGTTATATTTCTTCTTTTGGGAGTTTTCATGGTGGTGGGTCTTCTGTTGGTGGCTTGATTAGAAACATCCAGTTCAATCTATTCTAAATAAGTGAAATGTGGTTAATGATCTAGAAAATCCATTACACAGGTAAAGCCTACCTGACCCAATAAAGGTATTTTTATTTCTGGGCCTAGTGGGTCCACGGTATCTGCAATACCCTTGGCCACCTGTTTTTTTTTTTTTTTTTCGAAAATCCTTGACCTTTCAGGCAGGATAGAGCTCTCCAAATCTCTACTTGTTGTTTTGATATAAAGAAATTCAAACTATCTTGTAGTGTTGCACCGCTACCGATACCAGTATCGGGCGGGACCCAATCAACCACTAAAATGGTGGTATCGGTATCGGGGAGTGCCAACAAATAGGGCACAGATACCATTTTGAGAGCCAAAACTTTATTAAAATATTGTCACCCATTCCAGGTAGGCAATAAAAAGTTCTACTGGATTTACTTTGTATTAGTCTTTTTCCTGCTTCACAAAGGTAGGCAGCAGCTTGACAAAGCCATGATGGAAATTATTTTACATCCAAGTAGTATGCAGTTCTTCATATACACACACACATCAATTTCAAACAGATGGTATCGGCATATACTGCACAGCCAGGTATTGGGTATCGGGGCCTAAAAATGGCATCGGCGCAACACTACTATCTTGTGTAGACATGAGTAAAGGGAACTGATGCTATTTAAAACAACATTGACCACTGTATTCCTTTTCAGCAACACTGCAGTCTGTCTTCTTTTGTAGATCATCAGCTAATACCATATGTTTAATATTTATAAATTGATATATCTATATGTTTGTCTGTATGTTATGTATCTATATGCCTGAGGGTATACATTTTTGAACAGATCACAGCCCTGAACCTTGACAACCAAAGACTTTCTGAGCTTTGCAACCTGGATAAGCTGGTGAACCTGCGCTGGGCTTCCTTCAACCATAACAACATCTCGGTAAGTGAAAATGGGGACGAGCACGTAGTACAGCCTTACGTAAACATATCACCAGAATGATTGACAACTAGGAGGACTACTTATTTTATACCTTTAATTTAATATAAATCTTACCTTTTTTCTTTACAGGGTTCTTGACCTTATCAGTAATTATTTGGCCTGTTTCTAATCCATCCAGTATATATTTTATAGATACTGATGACTGATAGCAAAGTTTTTTCCCCACTGCAATAAATGAAAAATCTAGATAAGTCATATTTCCTAAAATAAGTGCATTTGTTCTTGAATTTAGGAGATAAAATAGACATTTTGCCAATAGAACAAGACAATTTAGATTTAAAATATCTAATACAATAAGATCTAATTATCTTATTTATCTTATTGTAAGAGTAAAAATACTCATTCCATTGGCAAATTATGTCATTTACCTACTCAAATCAAGGGTAAATGCAGTTAAGACATATTAATGATTTCTTCATCGTTTTTCCAGTGCAGGCTCTAGAAAATTTTGTTCCTACTATCCATTTCTTTGAAATGTTTCCAATCTTTCTGCAAACCCGCTGCTGTTTTTCTTTCTCTTCTTTTTTTTTCTTAAACTTTCCAGCAGAATATGCATTTCTATGACCTGCATGGTGTTTTGTCTTTCTATTTTCTTTCTGGTGTTGCAGAAATACCCCCCAAAAACCTTACAAGGGTGTCTGGTAACATAAATGTTGTGAATTAACCTACCAGTCTTTTAAAGCCATAGTTTTAACATATCAAACTTTTGATTTTGAAGAAAGTGATAAAAGTATTTTCATAACCATGCTTCATATTTATGGTAGGCTATTTGGCAAATGAAAAGTATTTTTGTAAATCTAGTTGATGTACATAAAAAGCTTAGACTTAGCATGATTCAGTGTCAGCCGGTGAGATAGAGAGCTTTTTTGTTTTTTATACACCATTAGAGGGCAGCCATGACCAAACAATGTTGCAGCTGCTTCATCACTCTTCTGGCACATTTCATGTGGGGCCCTCACTGATTTTAACACAAATATCCACTATTTTAATATCTAACAAACCTGTTTTCTTATAGCTAGAATGTAAACAATTTAGATTCTGGGCATTCTTTTGGGTTATGTATAGAGATCATCATTCATGCAGAGCGGGTTGGAGTTGCTCCTTTGTTTGTGTGTTCTGTGATTGCTGGGAGTTTTCCTGCACCTGTAAGGCCTGAGAAGCTAAATGCAGCAGCAGGAGGGAGAATAAGGCCAAACTGTTTTTTCGCTGACTGTCTTTAAGGAGGAGGCCTGCCTGCATCCTGAAACCACTGATGCAGAGCCTGGAGATGCTCCATTTGAGTCACAATGGCATCTACAATATGGCCAATCTGCAGCTCAGCAGGCTCACCAATCTTAAAGCACTCTTCCTCCAAAAGGTATGTATAGTTCAGGGTGCAGGCCTCCCACTCAGAGTGGTTAGGGTGAGGTGAAGAAACTGTAAAAGCGAGCAGTAAAAGAGCAGTACGTCCCATTGACCGAAGGCCAGGTGGGTGATGAGTCAAGAAGAAAAGAGCGACTGACTTTCTTTTCAACAGCGTTGATAGCTTTCAATTGTCCCTGTGCTTTCTTCTCCAACGCCAACTTCACTTTCTTATTTTATGACTTCTTCAGAACATTTTAAAGCTTTTCTGTAATTTCAGTAGTTTTTCTTTTGTTGTTTTGCTTTTTTAGAGCAGCAACAAAAGTACAAAAAATAAAACTTAAAAAAAGCCTGTAAAAAGTATTTCTCTTTGTCTCTGCAGTGTTTTATTTTTTTCTCTTTGTCTCCTTAAATGTTTCAGATCATCAAACATTTATTAGTATTAAAAAAGATTAACTGAGTAAATACAGAAAGACATTTCAAGTGGTGGTTTTTATTTGTAAATTAAAAATCTGTCCAAACAAGCCCGGCCCGGATTGAGAAAGTAACTGATTACAACTATCAAACATTTCCAATAAATGATCCTGTTCTTTTGCATCGCTGTGGGAAATATGTAATCTTTTTGCTACGCTTTTCAAGCATGAACAGGCCATATAAGGTCATCCCACAATATTTTAGTCTGATTGAAGTCGACTCTGGGTTGGCCATCCCCAAAACCTTCATTTAGAATAATTCAGAGACAAACTGGTGGTTTTACTGCTGCGTGACTCAACATTTCCTATAGGGGAACAGAAATCCTAGTCCCATTATTTACAGCATAGTCTCCCAGATCATAATGCTTCTCCCACTAAATGTTAATGTTATGCCCACCCCATGGATGGGTGAATTTTGAGATGGGTCTCTGTCTTCTTTTTTATTCAAAAGTCTTTAGGATTCCAAGAGTTTTGGGCAGAACTAAAGGATTCTTTCTGTTATTTTGGGTTTTTGTCTTGCAACGATGTCATAGACCCAGTCCCACCCAGTCCCTTTCAGGTTGTTGAACCATTATTCAATCATTGCTCCTGGCTGACTCCTGAAGGTTGTGGTTGCTCAGTTGGTGGCACTGTTACCTTGTAGTAAGAAGTTGGTTTTAGATTCCAGCATGGAGGATGGATGCATGGATGTTATCCTTGTTCTTCCCTGGTCCGACTGGGTCCTCTCCCACAGTCCAATGAGATGACAGAAAGGTTATTATTGACTAAACTACCCCTCTGTGTGAGTGTGCATGTGTTTGGTTCATTGTGTTTTTTTATTGTGTTGTTTTTATGTTTTACCCTAGTGGACTTCAGCCTGTCCTGGGTGCACCATAGTTCACACACCCACACACACAACAGGTTACCCTCAAACAGGGGTCTGCAACCTTTGGCTCCAGCTCCTTAAAACTCTGCGATGGCTCCTGATCTCTTGGCTAAAAATGATAAAGAAACATACAACTTCTGAACAAAAGATAGTAGCAAATGCATGTTTTAAATGGGAAAAGTGTTTTTTTTTTACACATGATTTTCCAAATATATTAGCAACCCACGTAAAATGTATTTCTCTCTCCACAAGGTTTTTCCTTCATTTTAAAACCCAAAATCTGAAATAGCACGGTGGTTATTTAAAAATAACTCTGATGGATATTTATTCAATATGTTGTCTTTGTCTTTTTTATGTTTGCTGCTTTAAACTACTTTTATAAGCTGGACTTGAGTCCCAAGCCTTAGAGCTGTCTTTGTAACTCTTTCCAGAAAAAAAGCAAAATTCGCTCTAACAAAAATAATAAGTCTATTAGTCTATATTTTCATGCTGATAAAATTGAAATTAAATTTTTTTTTCATCAGTGATTATTTTTCTGAGGGTTAAAAATAATTTTTCTTTACCCAGGCAATAAAATCAGCTGGGTGGAGGGCTTGGAAGGCCTCACCCAGCTCAGGGAGCTCGTGTTGGACCAAAACAGAATTAAAGCTCTGGATAAGAACTCTTTCAAAGCCCAGAACCTCCTGCTGGAGCTGCGCCTTGCAAAGAACCGTATCCGGGAACTGAACTATCTCGATTCCCTAACAGAGCTCAACAAACTCTTCCTGGACATGAACAAGCTGCAGGTATTTTGCCTTTTTAGATGTTTGTATGGAGAATTTAAATGAAACGGCATATTCAATCTAAAAGCACACACAGCGTGCGCACATTACTGAGGAAGGTCACGGTAACCTTTTGTGTAGTTTTTGATTTACCAACTTTTTCCTGATTGCTTTACATGTATCAGATGTTTAAGAATGCATTTTATTCAGTATTACTTTTTCTGCATTTTGCAAAGTAGGCATAAAGTATAGTAATCATGAGCCATTACCACCCACTGTGGTATGCAAGGGGTAGTATTAAGGAGAATCAAGGTTGATTGAAAGTCAGGGCCGTGCGTATGAAGGAAGAGGGGAACAATCAGGACAACTTGTAATCAGCTGCTCACTCTGCAGCTCCTCACCCAGGGGGAGTGATTTGCACTTTTGTTGCCTTTTTCTTTCTCCTCCTCACTTCCTTAATGTTTTTCCTGCATTCAATTAAGACATAAAACAAGGCAATCATCCCAGAGCATCGGCCCTCACCGTGGGGGGTGTTTTTGAATCACAGCCGAGAGTCAGAATATAAAGCTGGGAATCAAAGACAGCCCCCGCCCCTCCATGGCATGTTGCGTGCCCATATTCCCATGAGATTAACACAGGCTCACATATGTAATCTCCTCCATCCTCCTAAATTCTGAAATGTTCTGCCCTCATGCATACATACATTTCCATTATCAGCCCACCGCAGGCTCCGACCAAGAGGAGAAAAGGTAAAATGACAGAGCCTGGAATAAGAAAAAACTTAAAATAATCTGGTTCTCTACTTTCCACAGGACATCACAGAGCTTGAAAAATTGGATGCCCTTCCCTCCCTGACAGAGCTCTCTGTAGCTGGAAATCCAGTGAGTATTACGGGGGGTTTAGTTTGTCCATTAAACCCAATTAGGCATTTTGAACAACTAGAGTTTTTTCCCCCCACTGTGATAAGCTTTCACAGACATGAAACCGCGATCTGTCAGTCACAGGACACTTTGAGGTCTTTGACTCACAAAAAAAATTATCCAAAGCAGGTTTTAAAGCTCAGTTTCTCACGTCCCAAACTCCAAATTAAGCGATTACACATTGGGCCGTCTGCTGCTCCTCACACTGCCTGGCATTAGAGACCAAATGGCATGGCACCATCACCCATCTGGAGCTACTCAAGCCTGGGTAGAGTCTGCAGCTCAGGACCTTTATTCTCCATGGGGTAAACCTCAGCTGCAGTAGCCTCAACCCCATTCCCCTTAACTTCTCATGGGGTAAACTATAACTGCTGCCAGGGACTGCGGGCCAGAATCAGCCCTGGAGACGCTGCTCCCATCTAGTGCATGTCCTGTAGTATGCAGCGACATCCTGCAGGAACAGGCAATATTGTGGTCAGAGAGACGGGTTTGTAGCATTACCAGAAGGTGCTTTCAGCTGCAGCTGTCAGCTGGGTCACTGGGAGAGCTGCTGAGAAGGTGGTAGCTATCCTGGGACCCAGTTAGCATCATATTTTCACCACATTTACTGTACTTCAACTACAGACAGTCAGGCTTCAATTTGAATTTTGCCTCTCTCAGTTAATAGTAAATTGATTTGAACCCAGAACTTTATAGCTGGGTGGTTTTTACTGTCTATTATCCTTAGGTTGCCTGTAAATCCCAGCATAGGAGAGCGGTTGTGCTGCGTCTATCGCAGCTGCAGGTCCTCGATGGAGTCACGGTCACGTTGGAGGAACGGACGAAGGTTGAGCTCTTTATTAGAGACCAATATGTGGGAGCTGAAGTAACTAGAAACACATACATTCATCTACTTTCAATTATATATATATGTGTGTGTATTAGGGATGGAACGGTTTTTGAAAACCGTCCGAACCGTTTGGTTCGGTTCGGTTCGGTTCGCGTGTGTTTCGTCCGGTTCATGTGCTGCTCCTTTTTCTCATAGGCGAAGCGTTTACACTCCAGAGCAGAAGGTGGCGGTACTGCGACCAAAGCCAACCACCAGTAGTAAACAAGGAGAAGAAGAAGCGAAGCAGTGTAGCCGGGTGTAGCAGAAAAAAGTTAGTTGTTGTGGAGAATTGTGTGGGTATGGCGAGTGGGAAAGAACAGGAGTTGGAAGACGCGCCAGCAGCACTTTATAGGCCTGCTGTATGGGACCACTTTGCATTTAGAGTAACCTACGATGACGGCGGAAAGAAAGTTGTGGATAAAAGTGCAACAGTGTGCAAGCATTGTGCAACACGTTTTGTTAATGCTAACAGCAACATGACCTACATGTCATGCTAACCCCGAAATCCCACATACTCCGTTAGCGCTCCGTCCCGCTGCGCTCCAGACCGCCTGCACAAAGCAAAGCCTACAGCCTCCTCTGTGGCTCCCGTCCGCTCCGCTCCGAGTTCCTTGTAGATCGTAGAGGGCATGCGCGAGATGATTAAATCAAAGCAGCAAAACATGCGGAAATGATCCATGGTTTCCGCGAATCATTAAAAATAATTTTTTTCATTAATTTCATAAAAAAAAAGAAATTCATTAATTTTTATTATTTTTTATTATTTTTTTATTTTTCGGTGTAACAATAAACATATACCGAACCGAACCGAAAATTGTGACCACGAAACCGTGAACCGAACCGAACCATGGATTTTGTGAACCGCTCCACCCCTAGTGTGTATACATATATATATATATGTTTTGCCAATTGTTAGAATTGTTTGATCAAAACAGACCAAACCAATTCTGTGGAGTCACTAACTTAGCATTCATCACTCCCTCTTAACGAGCATTTGGTGACAGTGGAAAGGAAAGAAAGCCTTCAGCTAATAGCTACTCTGCATCTTTAATTTGCTTTTGTCATCTAAATACTCTACTGCCCTCAGCTCTTGAGAAAGACTTTTCCACAGCTCAGGGTGTTAACAAGAGAAGATGGTGTCACCCAGACTTTTTAAGTTCCAGATTTATTAATGTACAGGGCTCTAGGGAGCCTCCAGGATAAAGGGAAGTTTGATAAATAATCTGCTAGGTTAGTTAATTGTTTTAAAAGCTAGTAAGATCCATTTATAATCAATTCCTAAATGCATGGCTAACTACAGCAGAGATTAATATAGTCCTCGTGATCTGTGTCACAGAGTGTTTGTGCCAATAGCTAACAACTTCTGACCGAGCTTAAGACAGTAGAGTTGAATACTACATAATTTGTTCCTTGGTCATCATTAGATATATGGAGCTACAGTATCATCAATATAACAGAAAATAAATCCAGTGGACTGTTGGGCCGTAAAGCTCCTGCAGCTCTGAATTAAAAGCAGTCTAAGCCTGCGAGCATCATCCTGCTGATTAGATGAAATGTGGCCAGCCGATAATGCACCAGTGGATTTAGACTGTATTAGCCGGGTCAGAATGTCTCTCTGCTCGTTAATCGTTGGTATGGAAAAGACAGATCGCAAATCCTCAGTTTTCTCATTAAAATACCCAAACCTTCCGTTAGCGACTCTCATAATGCCCCCTGTTTTCACTCAGTCCATAGCTGCCATTGCTGTTGCTGAATTTGAACTTTGTTACTGATGACCAGTAATTTCCCTATAAGATGCTTGCATAATGTGGAACAACAAGCAATCCAATCACCAATCTCTGGCAAGGGGGTGGGTGGAGGGACATATTGCTTTGACTGCACTGGACATGGGAAACAAGACAAAAATAAAGCATAGGTTAAATTGAAAAGCATTAATTTAGAAGTTTGCACTTTTTTGCAAGTTTTCTTCTGCTTTTTATTAAATCTACATGGTTAGACTCTCATCTATTACTGTTTTTTTCTTAAAGAAAAGCTCTCACCACCTAAGAGCATGTCTGCCTGCTTCTGACATTCATCTACCTGGACCGATGCCTATTTGGCCTCACAGGACCTCTCTAAGGGGCACGGATATACAGTAAATGGGGGACCACACAACGTCAACCTTAGGCAGAATTCACTGCCAAGCACTTCAAACAACAATCATTTCACACAAGGACATAAATGTGCAATTCCTGCTGCAGAAAATGTCATGTGTTTTATTAAGAAAAGATTATCTTACATTAGCCTATACAGCCTATTTTGTAACAGAGAATCATTCTGCAGGTAGCATCATGATTTTATTTCAGAGATATGCAGAAATCTTAAAAAAAAAAAATCATTCTTTATTTATCTAGCCTTTGCTTTCAAGAATTCTGATGTCCTTATTATTAGTAATCTAGATCAATGCTTGTTCAAGCTTTTAAAATGTATTTAAACTTCTTGTAGATAGCTGAATGCTCCAAATGTTTATATTAACAAATTATTTGAATAATTTAAGTGTTGTAAAAAGGTATTTGACTCCTCAAAGATTATTTTTCTTTTGTTCTTTATGCCACATTTTAAAATATCACATCAATCGACATCATGACTTTTACTCACTCAAAATGACTAATTTAGTATTTATATGAATATTTCAGTTATTAAAGGAAAACACTAAGCCAAACCAACCTGACCTTTTGTCAAAAAGTCATTGTCACCTCAACCAATAACTGACCAGTTTTTTGCACCAATAATGAAGAATTTCAACATTTTTCTTGTAGAGTTGATTCAATAGAACCATGCTGGAAGGTTGACTAGGCCTCTATGACACCTCAGTGTTTCTGAACCATTCAGAGAAGGTTGTTTCTTATGAATCATCAAAGTGTGCTTGAGCCTAATCCTTTAGGAGTTTCTACTAAATAGCAGAACACAATGTTCTGTTAACCATCGCTACCAAAAACGTGTTTAACTAAGATGTTTTTTAACTGCTTTGTTAGTTTTACACCAGATGTAACACAAAGTTTCTCAATATTTTCCCATCCATCAAGATATTTTCTGGTAAATGTGGGCTAACAGTGGTTTTGACCTTGTCACTCTCACATGGATGCCATGTTCGTTTCTCTCTCTCATTGTTGATCATAAACACTGACCTTAAATAAAGTAAGAGAAGCCTGTAGTTGATAATGGCTCCAACTATGACTCCAGTCGAGTTTACTGAGTTGAAAACCTGTTTGTTTGTACAATAATCAATTTACAAAAACTGCTTCTCTTTATTGAAACTCTATTAAAGGTTTTCTTTTGCAAGGACTTCTTTTCTGTCCAACTTAAAGCAAACACTAAGATACAAACAACTTCCTAAAGAAAGGCTATTTACATTTTAAACATTGGATGGTGTGGAACAGATTCACAAAGAATGGTCATCAAAAAGGATGGTTTAGACTTGGACCCTTTATGTGAATATTAAATGTCTGTCCTGACCAAGTGTCAGCCTTGATCCCTTGTACTGCTGCTCTGTTTGTTCTTGTGCATGTATGTGTGTACCTGTCTAGCCGTCAGAGTGAGGACCATTTTTCTAATTTCACCATCCAATTGAGGACCATCTGTTGCAAACTGAGGACTTTTTGCCAGTCCTCACATGCTATTTTGCTAATGGTTAGGTTTATGGCTAAGGTGTCAATTGGTTAGGGTTAGGTTGAGGTAATGCATTGGTAATGTTTAGGTTTAGTTTTAGGGTTAAAAAGGGTTGAAAATGACTGAAAATCAATGGAAGTCAAACGGTCCTCACTACAATGGCAATGATACCAGTAATCAGTTACTGGCAGCTGTCTGAGCAGGACATTTGATTTTTGTTTATGTTTTTAAGAGTGGAGCAACTTGTACAGGATCTATTTAGCTTCTTGACAATACAATGCAGACAAAAAAAACATAAAAGGGTTTGAAAATGGTCTAATAAGTGGTTCCTAAGAATAAGATTAATTCATAAGAATGAATGATAAATATTAAATATTACTATAAAGTGGAAATATTCAACATTTTATGTAAATAAAAAACCTAAAAGAACGTCATAAAAACTCTAGAGTTATGTACTTACATAACTACTGTATGCAGAAAGATTTTCCTTCAGCATTGGAATGCATGAATGTTCACGCTAAGCATAGGTTTTTACAATAATAATACGTTTCTCTTTTTAAAAAAAGTTTGAAGACTTATTATTTATTACAAAATGTCTTTTTATTAATTACATGAAGCATTACATTTATTAAATGGACGATGTTGACACCAATAAAGCAAATCACAGATGGATGTCTAACTTTGATATACAACAAATTATTTTGTCGAAAACTAGAACCTGAACTTTACCAAGCTCCAGAGGTGGGGGAAGGCTGTTATTGACCTACCATTAAAGCGAACTTTCAGGGCAGGGGAGAGAGGAAAAAAACAATAAAGTGACATACGGCTTTAACAAATGATAAATGCAGTTTTTAGAATAATACCAGGTTTAAAGAAAGCTATTTTCTGACCCATATTCTCAGCAATTGAATTTTTTTTTTTTTTAAACCAGACATGGGCAATGTGGAGTCAACAAGTCATCTCCATGTCATGTATTTGTTCTACCCAGCCACTGAAGCAGGTGAGTCCAATCTTCACTGTGAATTAACCTGTGCAGATTGGACTCACCTGGTTAATTGGCTGGGTAGATTAAATACATGACATGGAGATGACTTGTTGACTCCACATTGCCCATGTCTGTTGAATTAAAACATCCACGGACATAACATTGTACTTGGCCGATTGCATTAGCCGACCACCTTTTAATTACCAAAATAAAAACACAACGGCAAAGCCAAAAGTTAGGAAAATCCAGAGTTTTCGACACATTTTTTTTAGGTTTTCCCATTATTACGTTAATGTGGTAATATCTCGGTTGTCCTGCAAAAAGGTCTGATGTTGCAGGGCAGGTAATGAAAAGTGTTTGGAGCATGCTCTTGCTCTGATGCCAGTTTGTTTCAGCCTACAACAAGGACACTTAGCAAGGTAGAGTGAATACACAAACTTGTAGAGGGGACAGGGGCTTGCAGGAAAACTGGAATTCTCCAGGATTTCTAGTGCTAATGCACTCCGCTAATGGCAGGAGAAACAGACAGTAAAAACCTGACGTTATTCTTCCCCATAACACGCTTTGCATGTGTAGTCAACCTGCTAGCGGCAGGGATGCGACAACTGTAATATAAATTATTTTACTGCGATTGCATCTGCGCGTTCTCCAGTTCAGCCAGGCCGGCGCACTATAGTGCATACCAACTTTTTGCGCTGCTGACAAGTGGCTATAACTTGAGAGAGGGCGGTGTGTGCAAATTTGGAAAGCACAGAGGATGCTGATTGCTCACTTAACTTGGTCAGTCTACTCTACTCATCTTGCAACAATACACCGTGCACAAACTAACACCGCCGCAGAACCTAGTTACCGGACCAGATGTTTACTTTTTCTGGAATCGGGAGTCATAGTGTTTTTCTGAAGCAGCTCTTGTTTATTTGCAGAAGGGGACATCAGTGCATTGAAGGCAGAGTGAGGGAGGGCACGTTGAGTTCATCATGTGATCAGCCACAGTTACCATGGCACAGTAGATCTAAACTATTATTATTTTGGGCATGCACACACACACACACAAACACACACATCCACATAGATACAAGCACACAATAAAAATTAAAAATAAAAAAAGGCAAAAGGGCACTTTGGGCATCAATGAGCTCAGTTGCTCAAGCACCCTCAGGCCCCCCCTCTGCACGTCCCAGCTCCTGATCACACCTCTCCAAGTACAGGTGCTGGTCATAAAATTAGAATATCATGAAAAAGTAGATTGATTTCAGTAATTCCATTTAAAAAGTGAAACTTGTATATTATATTCATACATTACATACAAACTCATATATTTCAGATGTTTATTTTGTTTAATTTTGATGATTACAAATGACAACAAATGAAAATCTCAAATTCATCATATCAGAAAATTAGAATATTACTGAAGACCAATAAAAACAAAGGATTTATAGAAATGTTGGCCAACTGAAAAGTATGAACATGAAAAGTATGAGCATGTACAGCACTCAGTATTTAGTTGGGCCTCCTTTGGCCTGTATTACTGCAGCAATGCGGCGTGGCATGGAGTCGATCAGTCTGTGGCACTGCTCAGGTGTTATGATAGCCCAGGTTGCTCTAATAGTGGCTTTTAGCTCTTCTGAATTGTTGGGTCTGGTGTATTGCATCTTCTTCTTCACAATACCCCATAGATTTTCTATGGGGTTAAGGTCAGGAGAGTTTGCTGGCCAATTAAGAACAGGGATACCATGGTCCTTCAACCAGGTACTGGTAGCTTTGGCACTGTGTGCAGGTGCCAAGTCCTGTTGGAAAATGAAATCTGCATCTCCAAAAAGTTGGTCAGCTGCAGGAAGCATGAAGTGCTCTAAAACTTCCTGGTATGTGGCTGCGTTGACCCTGGACCTCAGAAAACACAATGGACCAACACCAGCAGATGACATGGCACCCCAAACCATCACTGACTGTGGAAACTTTACACTGGACTTCAAGCAACGGGGATGAAGTGCCTCTCTTCTTTTCCTCCAGACTCTGGGACCTTGATTTCCAAAGGAAATGCAAAATTTACTTTCATCAGAGAACATGACTTTGGACCACTCACCAGCAGTCCAGTCCTGTTTCTCTTTAGCCCAGGCAAGACGCTTCTGACGCTGTCTG